CGACTGGGGTCTGAGCGTGACTGAATATCACTTGGATTTTGAAACAATCTAGAAAGCATATAACAAGGAGACGGGTGCTTACCGCCGCACTTGACGTCCATGAAGTAAGAGTTGGGCGATGGAACCAACCTCTTAAGCTTACATTTCCTCTTCTCTTCAGCCAGAGATGGGTGAAGTAGATCACGTGCAAGCTAAAAAATATAGGGACTCGTTTTTACACATGTTTTAAACTAGACAAAAACGAAGGTATTCAACTGCGACTTACACCCATGCTTCACATGAAACCTGTGAAAAAACAGTGACTTAAACAACAGACGCAGTTAATCAGAAAAGCTAAGTTAGGTTCACTCTGGCAAAGAAATTCAGAGCTACCAGGTTAGTTTAAATATTCTGTAAACTGCTAAATCCTTAAAGCCAATTCCGAAATAGGGTGTGAAGCACCTGCACAGAAACCGATTTCTGCTTCTGGCATCTTTTAGAGACACTGGTGTGGCCAAATAATATGTACCTTAATACGTCGGAACAGGATCACATAAGAGTATGGATTTCTTTATATGGTCCGGAAATATACTGGTGTTGTATATGTAAACAAAGGAAGAACAACGAGTGCCTCAATGTGCTCACAAAAGCAGTGGTGCTCACATGGAGAGTAAATCACCTGCATGCACTGTCTAGTTTACTCAGACGTTCCATGTAGAAGACCAAACGCGTAAGTATTAAACAGAGGCTATGGGACAAGTGTAGTACGACCTCTTAAGTAAAATAGCCATGCTGCGTAAAGCTCAGTAGTAGCTTAGCTAGACAGAAATCAGTAATTTAATTCAAACTTATCTTTTCATTAAGGAAGCACGGGAACTGAGTTTTTTGTACGTCCGATAGTCTGATTAACACCGAGACATGAAGACTGGAAGGATAATTGATGTCTTCCGTATTTAAGGGAATAGCGCACTGGAACTATAGTTTGTGGCTTCTTTAAAAATTAATAAATTTCTCCATTACTTTGCAGGAAATTGAAGTTAATCTGACTGCTCTGTAGTTGGTTGCAGACGCACGACTACCACGATTGTGAATCGGTGTAATATGAGTTCATTTCCAGCCCATGGGAATAATTCTGGCCTCTAAAATCTCTGAAACAGAATGTACAATGGCTTGACCATTTCTCGAGCAACTTCTAAAATCAGTTTTATTTCAATCTCGTACAGATCAGGAAATTTACATTCTGAAAACCCTTAATATCCCTCTCCTCAAAGCAAAATATTTTCACTAATGAAAGCTTCAGTGTCCTCGTAACTAGTTTAAATAGAATCCGTTCCAATTACGAAAATGTACCAGGAAAATGAGGAAAATGTTCACTTTTTTGCAATGTCTATTCGGTTCCGGCAACATTTACTATATCAAGAATTGAGTTCCTGGTCCACGTACTATTTTGCCAAGGACTCTAGTGCAAGTCACGTTTTCTTTTCACGTCTCGTAAGAGAAAAGCTATCTCGAACTCCATCATATTTTGATTATTAAGTCTTTAATCTTATTCGCTCGGATACTGTACTCCCCTTACTTCCGCAAAATCTCTTCCAAAATCCTGCTTTCCTGTTAATATATCTTTAAATCGCGCGTAAGCCATGGAGGTCCGTTGTCAATCCGGGGCCTTGATGAGGGAATATGGAATTTTAGCAAATGCGACAAGCAGTTCTCGAGTAAATTCAAGTCTTCGATGAAGTTACGGTTGAAGAATACATCTGAATCTCTTCATCATGCCTCAGCTAACATTTCACAAACCTCTCCTTTCCACGTATTTAACCCCAGTGCGTTTATTACATATGTTGTGAAGAAGAAACAGTACTACCATAAAAGTACTGCATGATCACTTTGACCGTGCTTCCATTTTGTACACAGTTTTCTGGACTAATTATAGTTGGTACTCCTTTCTGTAACTTGAATTTTCACCTTTTTTTTCCAGTTGGTAAACAACTGTTTGCCACGATATTTTAACTGGTTTACATCTTGAATCAATAGCGAACATCTTGCTCCTATTGTTATCCTTCACTAGACCGGGTACGAAGTCCCTTTCGGTATATCCAGCTTGATGTGTTCGTAGCGTGAGATCGTATCATCGGTTGTCCTCCACATAAGCTAAAGTGGCGACCTCGTTTTC